AATCATAATTGTATAGGGCAAGTAGTTGAACTGATTGTGTGTGTGTGTGTTCAGGTGTGTGTGTGTGTGTGTGCGTCACCTGGTGGATTTCCTGCCACCCGTTCTCATCAGTCATCCCTGCAACCATGACAACAAAAATTCTCTCAGCGGTGAAGTGCTTTTTTTTTCCCTCACAGAAAAACAAAATAAATAAAAAAAAGTAGTCATACAGTAATGTTTAAAGGTTAGCGGTGACATCATCATCCACACACACACACACACACACAGGTGTCTGCTTATTATTAACAACAACAGCTCGATGAGACTCTGGATTGACCCTGTGAGCCTCCCTACCGATGGTGGCGTGGTCCTGCAGCAGCAGCTCACAGCAGTAGGGGGCGCCGCCCACCATGGCAGAGTGATAGAGGGGAGTCAGACCTCTGCTGTCCTTGTAGTCCGGAGACGCTCCGAGGTCCAGCAGAGTCTGAGGACCACAACACGTCAGGAATTTAAGGATGACTTGTCTCAGATTTAAGATTACAACTGCCAAAAAAACGTTTAGTCTAAAGATGGCTGCCACCTCCTGAGCTCAGCACCAGGAAATGGCTGACTTATTTTCATGAGATTGTGTTACTTGAGAGACAAAATCCTCCACGTTTGAGATGGGGTCACATACAGCGGTGCAAATTAAGATTACGCTCCATGGGTCACAAACCGAGGAACATTATACCTTTTCTCAATTAATTATGGTTAAGCAGTCCATGCGAGACACAGGGGTGGGCGGTTATTAAGAGGGATGCCGCTGACAAGAAAAAAAAAAAAAGGACACACACAGGAACTAAAGAGCAGTGGTGCTTTCTTACAGTGAGAGAAGCGCTGTTCCTGCAGAGGACGGCCCGATGCAGAGCGGTGATCCCGTCTCTGGTCCTGAAGTCCAGGTGAGCTCCTCCACTGCGAAGAACTTTTATCAAGTCGCCGCTCTCTTCCAGCTGGACCGCCAGGGTCAGAGGACACTCTGAGACGCAAACATCCAAAACAAGTCATTACTGCTTCAAAATAAGAGCAGATCAATGGAAAATAAACATGTGGGACTGAGGACGCAGAGGTCATGTCTTCAGTGTTGTTTCTGGGAATGTGGGGGTTTTAATTATGCCTGCTGCACACAGTGAAGACTTTCAATTTAAAAAACGTGTAATCTTAAAGATGCAGACACCAGACAACTCCATCCAGACCACAGACTTGTAAGTCCAGATGCAGGACCAGACACTGGGGGTTTATACTAAACAGTTTCAGACTGGCGGTTCCGGGGACTCAGAAACTCGCGTGATTAAAACGTGACTTGAGAACTATATAAAAACATAGAGGAAGACTGTCGTAGTCAGCTGGTTGCACTTGTGTGTGTGCTATGTTTTACACAGAAAAACAAAAAAGAGAGACGAGGGAGTCAGCGATGTGATTATAAAACGATTATCGATGCATCGTTTTTTTTTTCCTATACAGGATTTCTGGATAATTACTAAGCATTTAATTTGCGCATTAAAATCCATAATCTCCAAATTAGCTTAAAATGACTAGTTTTCATCCCTAATTTACTTCATTAACCTCTCAGCTCCATGGTCCTTTGCTTAACAGTCAGTTGTCAGACTCCTCTGAAAACTGACATATAATTATCAGGATGTTCAGTCTGTGTACAGGACAGAGCTGTACACCAGTTTAGTCTAAGCTTGTACCTGATGTTCTCAACCCTTGACAAGTAGGTAAGTTAGTAATGACATACAGCTCAGCTAATTAATATTACTTAGCTAACGTTACATTATAGCCAAAAAAACGTGCTGTGTGCGAGTTAAAATCATTACTTGCGCATTGATATTAATGATTGTGTGACATTTATGTAGGGAGGTTATTCATTTCTGCAGCGGTGGTGTGCCGAATACAGGGGGATGCATCTAAGAGTCGATTTTTTTCTCCCGCCCCTACTTTATACATTTTACAGCACGAGCAAATACGCAACACGCTGGTGACACTTCCCGGTCAGCTCGGTCTTACTGGCTGTCGTGGGTTTCCGATCGGTGGCTCTGATCCAGTCGGCAACCTCAAGTTTGTCTGTAAACTCCTCACACTACAGGATCATTTGTGCCGATAATCAGTTCTGACCAGGCTCAGATCGGGAACGCCTCTGAGATTGTCGGGAGGGCGAATCGGACCCGAAATTATCTCCTAGTGTGCGGCCAGGAAGAGGATACATATACTATACACACATTTACATACTGTGTCTTTATAAGTTGATTCTCATCATTTCCGACTTAACGTGTTTAAATTTGACAGCTTTTAAACCGCATTTAAGTCATCATCTAGCAAGAAAAAATAAATAAACGCTTAAAAAAATAAGAGGGACTGGTCAAATATTTCTTGGGGGGTACTGGGGTTGGGGGCTCTGGTCTTGTTTTCCAGTATTTGATTCTAATGGAGGTTTAAGAGCTGATGGATGAGATCTGAATCTAAGATGGGCTGAGCTCTGGCACACAATATTTAACAGAAATAGCACAGATGCTAATGTGTTAGAAAACCACAAATCATGTTTTTTTTAATACAACATGGAAATCACAACTTTTAAAGACGCTATGAGTTTGTTTGAATTTGTTTTTTTTAATACTTTTATTGGCGCTTGGCTAGCAGTGTCCTCTTGCTTTGTGTTCAGCGAGGGTTAAACCATGTTTGACTAGATAAAAACAAAAAACGAGAGGATTTCCCTAAATGTTCCCTGAATGTTTAGATGGGGCTATTGGTGCTCACCCCCAGTGTCAGAGTCATGGAAGTTGGGGTCCAGGCCCTTTTCCAGCCATTTGGAAACCTTCTCCAAATTCTTCTGATGAACATGTTCCATAAAGCGCTTCAGGTTTGCCTGAAAAAACACATCAAAATGATTCATTTATCTGAAGAAACTTCACGAAACCTCCAACAAAATCTCTTAAATAGAGAAGACTGTACAGGCATAACAGAGTTTTTATTCAATATATGAGCTTTGTTTTGTCTTAGACCTGCTTAAGACACACACTTTGTGTCTATAGCTGGATTTACAGGGATTCACTGGACTTATTTAATGCCACAAAATGATAAACTGCATCTGTGTGCGTACCTTGGTGTGCAGCTTGGCCAGCTGTTTATCGTCCACGTAGCTCTGAGTGTAAATTCTCCTCTTGTAACGAAACTGTAAAATAAGATGTGAAAGTTTAGTGCTAGTTTGTATTGATTGAAAAAAAAGATTACACAAATATGTGGGTTGTCGAATGTTGTATCTGTCACATTAAATACCATGAAAAGACCCAACCAATAATGAACATATACATATATTTAGTCCTTTGTGCGTGTATCAGAGCCTGATATATCTTATTCCTCTGAGTCATAGAGCTCCATTGTTGTCCAGGAACTATTAAAACACATCAATGAGCCTCACTGCTGCAGCAGCTGACATGTTCCTATTGAACAAATAAAGAGCTCAATATTAAACACACAAATAATACATTATGAAATCAACAAAATATGTAATGTAGCAATAAAACTAAATTATACGTTTCAAACTCAGCTCATTGTTGTGACTTATTTTAACAATGGAGTTTATTGTGATAAATTTAATCTCTGTTGGGGAATAAAACTGTTTTTGTTAAAAGAACAATTTGATATAAAAAATTGCTGAGATTAAAAATGTATGTATCAGAATATTCCAGTTTCAGGTTATATTTATGTAAGTATGTATGCAAGAATTGATGTAAATACTTGGCTCCCAAATAGCCGCCTATCTCCTTTACTGGCCTGGTGTGGGAACACATTTTGACAAATAAACGCCTGCCTCAATTTAATGCCTGGTCTAGTTTTTATAGAAGTTCTTTGGATGTATAAAACCTCTAAAACCCCGCGGGGTCGATGCTTTAGCTGCTTCTAAGATGCTCAGATCGAGGCCAAGACTGAACGATCACTGCTATCTTCACTTGAGGCCAATAGGTTACGTTTATTCAGTTTCCTGGGAAGTGATGAAACAGCGGCTTCTCCACCCTGGTGTAGATGCTTCCTTGACACCTCTTTCAAACCATCCATCTTCTCTGTCTAAAATGTGCACCTGGTGGTCCTCAAACGAGTGTCCTCTGTCCTTCAGATGTAAGTAGACTGCAGAGTCTTGACCTGAGGAGTTGGCCCTTCTGTGTTGAGCCATGCGTTTGTGTCGTGGTTGTTTAGTCTCCCTAATATACAGGTCTGTGCATTCCTCACTGCATTGGACCGCATACACTAGATTGCTTTTCTTGTGTTTGGGTGTTTTCGGTCTTTGGGGTGGACCAGCATCTGTCTTAGTGTGTTCTTGGGTTTAGTCTCGCGTTTAGTCTTGGCCACGGGTAGACCTAACGACCATAATGACTGTCGTTACAACAGCCAGGAACACTAACGAACCAGCGGTATCGACGATCCCACTGAGGTTAAATAGCTGAGTTTCCCTACCAGTCTATAACACAGCTGAAGAAGTCCGCTGGATGAGAGACGAAACGTCTTCCAGTATCTTCAACCAAGTCCAGTTGCCCTTGACTTTAACCTTCTTTGGATAACTATGACCTGGATGACTGAGAATCTTCACAGACGTATGTATGTATGTGTTAAATTTATTTTTAAACCTGAAACTAAATATTTGTGAGGTGTTTTTAAAGATTTATGTCCTCAGTAGGAGCCAATGAGCTCGGAGCTGAGAGCCACAGACAGGAAGTCAGACAGTGCCGAACGTGTTGTTGGTCTTTTCATGGGATTTGTAGACGGAGGCAGAGAAATAAAATGATATATTAGATATACTGTACCTCCAGGTATGGGATGGGTGTGATGGGGGGGAGAGGATACTCCTTCAGCAGCCGCTCTTCGTCCAGAAACTTTCCGGCTCGGCCGTTGAACGCCGGCTGGAAGAGACCATAGTTCAAAACATCCGACAGAGACTGAGTCAACGTCACCAGAACCCTCTGCTTACTGGTCCAAACTGGTAACTCTGGGTCCAACCGCAAACACTTCTGAGAGAGCCAGAGACAGAGAAACAGACAGACAGAGAAAGAGACAGGGAGACAGACACAGACAGACACACAGGTTTGTCCTGCTGATTCATTCATGTAGTTTTTTTTTATCTCCTACTCATAGTTATATATATATATACACACAGTATAAATACACCAATCAGCCAAAACATTCTGACCACTGACAGGTGACATGAACACTGATTATCTTGTTATCCTGCCACCTGTCAGTGGGTGGGAGATATCAGGCAGCAGATGAACATTGTGTCCTCATGGTTGATATGTTAGAACCAGGAAAAATGGGCGAGTGTAAGAAATTTAGCGACTTTGACAAGGTCCAAACTGTGATGGCTAGACAACTGGGTCATAGCATCTCCAAACCAATCAGAAGTGGTCCAAGAAAGGAAAAGCAGTGAACCGGCGACAGGGTCATGGGGAGCCAAGGTTCAGTGATGCACATGGGGAGAAAAGTAAATGCTGGTTTTGATAAAAAGTGTCAGAACACACAGAGCATCACATTTTGCTGCAATGGCTGAGACCAGTCAGGGTGTCCATGCTGACCCCTGTCCACTGCCGAAAGTGCCCACAATGGACACCTGAGCATCAGAACTGGACCACGGAGCAATGGAAGAAGGCGGCCTAGTCTGATGAATCACGTTTTATTTACATCACATGGGTGCGTGTGCGTCGCTTATCTGGGGAACACATAACATCATCCATTTACACGCATTTAGTCATTTATCTGACGCTTTTATCCAAAGCGACTTAAAATTGCTATACATGTCAGAGGTCGCACACCTCTGGAGCAACGAGGGGTTAAGTGTCTTGCTCAGGGACACATCGGTGTCTCACAGCCTAAGCATTGTTGCAGTCCATGGACACTAGGGCTGTCGCGATAACCGCAAAATTGAGATATTAGTCCAGCCTACCACGGAGGATGGCAAACAACCGCAATGTTCATAACTTTACACTTCAGTGCATGTTAAATTAATAAATTAGTGCTTCAAAAACTAACGAGCTCTGTGACGGTTCAAGGATGGATCGCCATGGCCTGTACGTGACCTGACCTCAAACTTGGAAACTGTAAGTGTTGCCGTGTTAATTTTAAAGTTAGCTAACTTGGCATAGCATTGCACTTGGTTAGCATATTGCGCGGCTAATGTGGCTAGCAGGCTCGGCGATGTTGGACTAACATTGTAATCCTGAGGAACTGTCGAGAGAAACTGTGAACGGCAAGGGCCCGTGTCTACCAAAGCGTTATTTTCTGACGCCAGCGTCTTTTCAATTCATTCCAATGGGAGCGCCGCGTTTTTACTAGCAAAAAACACAAGGAGCGTGACGAGGCGCTGAGCGTCTTTTCCGTTTTCTGTTCAACTTTGGGGAAAACGCTGCGCTCGTCACTGTAACTTTTTACCCAGCTGTCCAATCACAGTGCAGGAGGGGCGGGACAAACACCGCACCGAGCACATTCGATCTTGAACGAAACGATGTGCATAATCGCAGAGTTGTTTCCTCGCAAGCAAAATCTCATTAACCCACGTATGGAGAGTCTGTGCTCTCATGTTTCAGCCTTCTCTTCACGCAGAGCAAAGGGCCAGAGCAAGCAAGCCTACGTACTTTGTGGTGACATCGCCTCCAAGGAAATTATGTATCATAGCAACCACAGCGTCTCGAAAAACAACACTGCGCCTCCAAAACGCACCCTAGCGCTCCCAGCTAGGCGTTTTCAGCTGTCAAAAAACGCGTTGGTGGACACGAGCCCTGAGCCTCATTTGAAGCTCACTAACTAACGAGCGTAGTGTGTCGGATGCCTGCAGCTGTTTTTCGTTGCTGTATGTCAGCGCAGTGGTGTGTGTGTGTGCGTTGCTGCGGTATGTAAATTGACTTGATAGACATGCCCTGATGGTAACGAAATTGCGTTACGTGTGAAAAAGACACGATCAAACTACAAAAATGAGTTTGCTTGCCAATGTTGTTGACTAGCACCAGAGACGTTATAGCACCCAGCAGCTAGCTCGCTCCGACCATAAAGCTGCTGTTAGCAGATCGCTGTGCAGTGAGGTGACGGACACTCTTACTACGCTTTATGGCAATAAATTACTTCATTGGTGAAAAATGCGATAAAACCGCATACTTTGTTTTGCCTTTAATGAGAACAGTATTCCCTGATGGCAGCGGCCTCTTTAAGAAGGATAACATGCCACAAAGCAAAAATGGTTCAGAAACGGTTTGAGCAACACAACAATGAGTTTAAGGTGTTGACTTCGCCTCCAAATTCTCCAGATCTCAGTCCAATTGAGCATCTGTGGGATGTGCTGGAAAAGAAAGTCAGATCCATGGAGGCCCCAGCTCACAACTTACCGGACAGTGTGTAGAGACATCTAGTGGTGAGAGTTGTGAATTGCAACCAACAGCTCACTCTGCTTTCATGTGCTTGGATGGTGTGTTTTCACGTGCTCTTAAGTCAGAATATGGTATCAACAAGGACGCTACTACAAAGATGTGTTGGATTAACATTATCAGAGCATATAAACAACACGCAGATAAATTTCATTTCTGTCAACATATGGTCCTCTTTTAATACCTTTAAATAATATAGACTACCCCTGGCAAAGTTTAAAATATTTGTGTTGTCTTATATATTTGTACACTGTTCTGGATACTTCTCTATAGTGTTGTAGTACTCGTGATTGGTCTTGTCTCGGACATTGAGGACTCTGGATTTTATTTCAAGACCAGTCAAGACCATAACTTTGGGAATATCAATAAATTGCTTTTGCATTGTCTGATTTATTTGTGAACATCCAAACTTTGATTGGATGTAAAACTTATTGCTTCAAATGTAACCAATAACCCTAATTAAAAATGTGTTGTTACCGTTAACGGCTGTCCCCCCTCCCCGCGATGGTACACATGGAAAAGAAGAAGTGTTGAATAAAGATGCTTATGTTGATTTCAGCTCTTAGTGTTTGTATGTGGGTTTTTTATTAGGAATGTAGATATTTCAGATCAATTTTAGAAGGAACTATGATCTCATTACACATTTTATTGTGTGTCATGCAATGTGGGGAACTGGTCTTGGTCTCAACTCGGTCTCAGCCCCTAAAAGTCTTGGTCTCGGTTTGTGCGGCCTTGACTACAACACTACTTCTTTATGTCCCATGTACACTTTATTCCTCTTTTTGAATGTAATGAGATTTAAGGAGGAAAAACAAATTCTTATTATTCCAACACCACATGAATGCACCATCAGTCACCGCTCACCCCTCCCCCTGCAAGCGCCCAGGAGGAGCTACGGTGGCCGACGCGCTCTGACGGCTCTGAACTAAATAATATGTGTGGTCCTCCATCCTTCCACCAGACAACGACAACGACGACTTATTCTTCTTCGTACGTTTTCAACGTAGTGATGAAACGCGCTCTGTAGAGCAGTTTGTCCATTTGAGCTACTGCAGAAACATGGCGGCGCAACATGGCGACTCCCATGTAAGAGGACCCGCGGTGAATGTAGATAGAAATGTCTCGTTGTAAGGTAATAAAAACATAACGGTTCATTTTGTAAGGTCTTTACACACCACTGTGTACATAGTTATGGATGTTACATTGCATTTCAGTCAATAGATCCTCCTAAATATTACACACTGAACCTTTAAAGCATCTGCTGCTAACGTCTTGGTGGTAGAAACCACACCACACCATCAGAGGTCTAGTGGAGTCCAGACACACTGTTAGGCAGGTGGTCATAATGTTATGGCTGATTAGTGTATAGACACGTGTATGTATTTGTGTGTGTGTTACCGTCTGCTGCAGGTCGGGGATGCCAATGCGGACAACGATGCTGTTTCCGGGGGGTGTGTCATCTGCGTCGTCGTCCCTGGCAACAGCAGAGCCTGTCGGGTTGCCGTTAGTAACCGCCTGTTGCCGCGGGCGATCATGTTTGGTGTCAGCAGCCGGACTCAGAGGCATGTGGCTGAAGCACAACACAGATATCTGATTACAGTCTGCAAACGCAGTACAAATACACAAACTGTATTCAGGTGGTTGTCGTGAGCATGTCTGGCTAACTAGCCAGCTGCAAAGGAAGGCTGAAATTAAATTCAATTAAATTAAACTTCCAGGTTCGGTTCCTGATAGGGCTGCAGCTAACGATTATTTTCATTTCGCTTATTTTCTCGATTAATCCATTAGGTGTTTAGTCTATAAAATGCCAGAAAATGGTAAAAACTGTCGATCATTGCCCAAGATGACATCCTCAAATGTCTTTTTTGTCCACAACCCAAATATATTCAGTTTACTGTCACAGAGAAGCAAAGAAACCAGAAAATATTCACATTTAAGAAGCTGGAATCAAATATTTCTTCTTAAAAAAATGACTCAAACTAATCACTAACGAATCAATTATCCAAATTGTTGGCAGTTAATTTAATAGTCGACAGCTAATCGATTATTCAATTAATCGTTGCAGCTCTAGTTCCAGAAATAAGAAAACCTCATTCAAAATCCCACTGACTTTAATGATAAAAATCTGGCCTTGGAACAGAATTTTCTCCACAGTATGTTGTGTGGCTCGCTTTATGGGTTTAAATAAATGTTTTCTAGCAGCCTTTAACGAACATAATTTCCCATAAGCCCTTGGTGCTGCTTTGCTAACAACAGTGTCATTTTTCCATATCATACTTATTATACCAGGACAGGGTTCCCACTCTTTTCCAGAGATAATTTTCCAGGACATTTTCAGTGATGATCTAGCTGGTATGACAGACAAGGATCAGGTTATACACTAACATGTTCCTCCCTGTGGAAATCTGAATTTTTTGCGTTCACAACGCTGCCACAACATAATATTAAATAAATTTTCCAGGACAACACAATAAGATTTTTCAGGACATTTTACTGTTTCTTTCATTTTCCATGTGTTTTTTGTGACTGGAAAAATTGGTCAATGTTTTCCAAATTTAACTAATAGATATCACCATGAAACTTTCCCAGTTGATTGCTTACATTAAGAAAATAGTTTTTTATGTTACAGATTTTCTGAATATTATGTTTAAATATGCAAATGATTCAGTATCTAGTAAAATATGCGCTAATTTGCATCTATTTCAGAAAAAAAAATGTGAACACTGGATTAAGTCAGTTTTAAAATGAGTTTTATTTTGTCGACACATTAGACTCAAAAATCAAAAATTTATTTTGAGAACAAAATGTCCATAACTCGTGCTGTGAATGATAATTGAACAAACCCCCTCTGTAAAAACCTTCAGAATATAGTCAGGAATAAAACTGGAAAGTGGAGATTTTAGGCCCAGTGTGTGAGGAAATACTCATTTTGAGAAAAAGGCCCATTATCAAATCAAATCCTTAACAACAACAACAACAATATATAACATGTCAAACACATCAAACTGATAACTGACAGCATGTCTGAACAGTCACACGAAAAGCTAAACCAGGAAATGTCACGTGACATATCTAAACCAATCACGTTGTCAGAAAGCACGGAAAAGACGCTCAACGCCTCGTCATGCTGCTGCCATTTTTACCAGGTTGTAAAAACGCAGCGCTCACAAACACTTTAATTAATTGAAAAAAGTAGTAAAATAAACTACTATATGTATTTTTCTGACTTTTCCCCTACTAGTCTGAAAGAAGACATGTTAAGGAAGCAAAGTATCCCAAAATCTTATAAATTTACCACAGTATGATGAAAAAAATGTTATTGCCTGCCGTGTCTGCCTTAAAGCGGCGGCAGGCATCTTTGGAGAAACCAGCAAGAGAAATCTAGATTGTAAAAGTACCCAACCCAAAAAATCTCCCACCCCCAGTCCTGCAACAGCCACAGATGATGTAATTTCAACAAATATAACAAAACATACCTCCAAAACAAATTGCCTACCCAACTCTAATCTTATTAATGTAGATGATCCTCTGATCCTCTTTATTTGGCGCCACCAGAATACTTTGGTAGCTGTACTGTATGTTTACTGCTAATTACCAAACATGACGCCAACACTGACACCATCATCAAGAAGGCCCAGCAGAGGATGTACTTCCTGCGTCAGCTCAGGAAGCTCAACCTGCCTAAGGACCTGCTGATCCACTTCTACACAGCCATCATCCAGTCTGTCCTCTGCACCTCCATCACTGTCTGGTTTGGATCTGCCACCAAAAAGGTCAGGAGCAGACTACAACGGACAGTCAGGACTGCAGAAAAGATCATCAACCTGCCCTCCATTCAGGACTTATACATTTCCAGAGTCAGGAAACGAGGCAGGAAACATCACTGCAGATCCATCTCACCCGGGACACAACCTGTTCCAGCTCCTCCCCTCTGGTAGGCGCTACAGAGCACTGTACGCCAAAACCAACAGACACAGAAGCAGTTTCTTCCCACAAGCCATCACTCTGAGGAACAGCTGACTCCGACTCAAGTTAAAGTTTCTTTATAATGAGCGTCACAGCCTCGTGGAGCTGCTATAACGGCTTGTTGACCCTTTGTCTTGTTTATTTTGTGCTGAAACAGCCTCTTAAACAAAAGTTAACCTTTCATTGAATTAAGAGGCATCCTTGCATTATAATTAATGCACAGCTGGATGCGACATGGACCATGTGTCAGAGAGACAGAGAGATATTAGCATCAATCTGAAAGCCTCCCACAGACATTTCTCACAGCAGACATTTTGCATTTTCAAAAGGTGTAAAGTAATGACAGTGATAATGGCTGCTTTCCATTTACCAAATGCAACACAGACATGGTAATGATTTTCCTGCGATGACGAATCAAAAATTATCACTGAGGAAAGTCTACTGACAACTCAAAACTATGCTGTGTCTGAAATCCACCCTGGTTTCGTCTGTTTGTGGGACGACATCTTATTGAGATTGTCTGCTGACTCTGACTGACCTCCACCTTCTCCAACGCTAATAATGGCCTCAGGATGTTACATCACATCCTGTTTTTCCACCCTGAGCAAAATGTGCACAGATAACCAGAACACAGAGAAGTGTCCGATTGTTCTGTACAGAAAGTTTAGAGACTGTATGAAAATGATCACATAGGAAAAGGAGGCGGTTTTATCTAGAAACTTTTCATTCAACATTAAAGATTGGAAATTAATACAAACCAAAAGTAACCAATTAAAATACATGGAGGGAATTCAAGTCAAAGGCAATCACAAGATATTTCCAGACACCAGAAATAGTGGCTCCGCACACTCAAACAGATGCTGGCACACACCATTGGCGACCATACCCAGATAATTTTGGACATGTCCTAAATTCAGAACATTTTGGGAGGAGGTGTTTGAGGCGCTTGAAGTAGGTGTTCCACCAAAATATTGTCTAGGTCTAATCTAGACAAGCATCGATGGAAGAGCTAAAAGATAGCTTCTACAAATGCTGCTAACAGCAGCACTTCAATGCTCCACAATTAAGTGGTTAAAACCTGACCCGCCAAAAATACAATATTAAACGTACACGTTTATTTTTATAAATGGAGTTTTTCCTACTTGAAAACGCAGACAAACGCTGTCAAGAGCATGCCAAACCACCAGGCGGCGATATGACCCTAACCAATCAGAGCCTAATAAAATCGTAAAACAAAGCAGGCAGTGGCGGACAATCTGACATCAAACACGGCAGATAATGGCACGGTGATGTCGCAAGGCAAAAACTCCGGTTTTACTGTCTACCTTGTACTGGCTCTTTATGCAGGCCCTCATTTCAGCCTCTGTCTGAAATGAGAGGTAACAACAGTAACATGTGATATAGAGACGGAGCTCAGTTAAAACTTTATGGATACAGATTAATAACTCACCGCTCTGAAACTCTCGCTCCAGTCCATGTTGCCAAGCTGGTCGGCAACATGTACAGCTGAAATTAAGCCCTATTTACCAGCTTCTCACTGACCCGCCTTTCTCTGCTTCTGATTGACTAGTAGTCCTTAACTAGGAACTGCACATGTGCAACTCCCAACAAAGATCATTTAGAGACAAGATGTATCACTCCATAGCTAAAACGAAGCCTTCAACACAGGCTGAAAAGAGGAGCTGCAGCAATGTGCAGTATGACGAACAATATGGTGTTTTTTGAAAATTAAACCATGTAAACCTGTTCTGGTACAACCCCTAAATAAGATTTTGAACCTGAAAATGAGCATAATACCACCTCTTTAAATACTTTTACCTCATTATTTGAAACTTTGGCCGTGTTTAACATTAACATCTGACATCGTAACGTTATTGAAATATGAAAAAGCATAATAGGTTCCCTTTAAATCTTCACCCTGACATGGGTTTTCAAAAATGTTCGGTTTCATTGACCTGATACTGCGTTTCCGTGTGGACTAACAGCCACCATTCGTAGAAAAAGTCACAGTTTTGAAAATACCCGTGTTTGTGTAGACGGGGCCTAAGGTAATAAAAACATAACAGTTCATTATGGTAGGTCTTTATACACCACTGAAAACATACTTATGGATATTATATTGCATTTCTGTCAATAGACACCACCAACGCTTCAACCTACTACTACTGCTGCTACTACTGCTGGAAATACAGTTCGGCTGATGTTCTTTTCTAATTCAATTCAAGAGCCTGTTAGGTATTTAATTATCATTTGTATTAATCATCACTGGTGCTAATTAACAACTTGATTATCCTCCGTGCCAATAAAAAAAAGCGGAGCAGAGCAGGAAGTCAAAACTTTAACGGCTGTTCTCATCAGCGGCGAAGATGAAAAAGACAGACAGACTGAGGAGGAGGAGGAGGATGAGTTGTGAGTTGTCATAGAAACTGGGATAGCAGGGAATCCTGTGCTAACCTCACGGTGTGTGTGTGTGTGTGTGTGTGTGTGTTAAAAAAAGCCCCCTGATCTACATGCTCGCTGTTGCCATGGCAACGCGGTTGAACAATTTTCGCCGTTCCCATTTTTTATTTTTTTTTAAACTACCAACCTACCTGCTGACACCCT